ATTAAGTTCAACTTAACCAAATTGCATCATATCGCATATCATTCGACTCGGCTGATCATAAGGAACACAATGACACCATTTTTTAAGCTCTAGCGTCATTATGTGCCAAGTTATTGGCAAAAACGTCATTTGACCTCAGTTGACCTCACTTGACCTGACCCATGGATAAGTACACCAAATAAATAAGCATCAAGTGACCTGCTGTTAAGGACTGCGGTTTGAAAGCACAAAAGTGATAGAACGAGGCGGATATCTCCAGTATTTTCCGATTTTAGTATTTTCCCGTAGGCTTAACATTACGGCGTAATGACCTCTTCTCTAACTGACCTCAGGTCAGTGACCTCAAAAAACCCGAATTATATGTTATACGACTCGGTGAACTTAGCACATCCTGAAAGTTTGAAGGAAATCAGTCGAAAACTGTGAGTTGGACAGGTGCAAAAAGAAAATTGAAATTTAACCATGACCTTGTACCGGTTTTCCTGACCTGGTGACCTGACCCAAGGTCACCCGGACCTGAAATTTTCAGGTAAAATGTAAAAAGGTTGCCCCATAGGCTGTGCCAAATTTCGCGGCGCTGCGCGCCGCCGTTTTTACGCTATCTTCGAAAAACCTTAGGGGGGGTCGCATCGACCCCCCCCTGCCAGGGCGAGGGTTAACAAATTCAAACATAACGTGGATTTGTATTTTACGGAGCGTGGTGCGGTCTTTGACACCATTGAAGACGTAGACAACTCTGATAGGTTTCGTTGTTAGGATACACTCATTGCATTCATTGTCATGCGTTAGGCGGCACGGGCGGACATCGATAGCAGCGCCTCTATCGGTCACTAGGGAAAGCTAGGCTGTAGGCGACGAAATACCGGCTGAGTTGTCACAAGTTAAATAGGGGAGAGTGGGGTGGGTTGTATCAGTTTTTACTCCGAGACCCATAACCTCGTAACTATCCGTGATAAACTCATTATTTCCATACTATCTCCTTCCTTGATTCTTCTGCTTTTTTGTGCAAAGTAACTTTTCCGCTACCTCTACCAGTTTTTCTTCTACGGTCTGTCGAATAGAACAATGTTTTTGATACAACTTGCCCCATGGCTTGGGTGAGTTGTATCACATGGTGGGGTAATTTGTATCACTAGGTATTTCACGTTTCAGGGAGTGTGCTTGCTACTGGTTTTGAACATAACAACAACATTAAATGGGGTTAATACCATGTATATGCTCAAAGGCTTCACTTTTATGAGACCAAACTTAGGTCAATGCAATCCGAACGAAACATCGAAACGAACGAAACATCAACAGACTATATGCAAAAGTGGCCCGTTAAGAGCAAAGAAGCCAACACATTGTGCCGAAATGGAACGAGTATTGACTAGCTACCTACAAACGCGAGACAGGGCTTAGCTTTCGCGATCAAAAGCAACATACCCATACATACATACATGTTACAACATACCCCACCCGGCTCTGATACAACATGTACCTCGCCGCCATCTTGGAAAAAAACATCCTCGTGCTCAAAAACAGCGGACAGCTGGAGAAATCCATTTTCACTAACGCAGCCTTAGAACCTACCCTCACCACCGCTACGGAGATCTTTCAAATTCGTGCACATCTAAATGCCCAAAACACACATTTTCTTGCAACTCAATTTTTTAGAATGACATTAAAAAAACATAAAATCGGCTCTCACCTCGAGACGCGTCCACCCAGCCACACGACAGAACAGGCAAAGATGGCGCCCGTAAAACCTCGTCGGCTGTTCGTGTCACGAGCGCTATCTATTGGATAAGTTTGGCACAATTCGCCCTGATACAACTTGGACATGATACAACTCTCCCCGCTCTCCCCTAGGTTTATAGACATCCGTCTCGTGAAAAAGTTGAATTTTTGCCTTCAATATTTCTATAGGCAATTTTAGAAGTGCCTTCACATTGATTACAAAACCGTTTAAGTTATTTTATTCACTTCAAGCCTTCCCTATTGTTCTTGATGATGCGGGAACTATTTCTAATTAGTGTTTCTAGCTTAGTAAAAGAACATATTGTGCAAACGATGAAAAAAGCATTAATGGAAGATTTTAAATGCAATTTTCTGTAACAAATAATGGTAAATTCTCTACACATCAAGGAAAAGGTGCATGCTAACTGATAATTTAAAGTTCTTGGGGCCAGTTGGTTTCTTCTTTTCTTACGTCGCCCCAATGGCCGCGAATACACTTGTGATAACGCCTATCGGTAAATCTTGTTCAGTGTGCATGAATGTGTACATCACTGTGTATATCATCCTTGTAACCTTGTTGGGCTCCTGTAGCCTGTTACATTGTAATATATGTTATGTTATGTTATGTTAATATCACCAATAATGAGCACAGATTTTAAAGGGACCTTCCCACCTTAACATTAGTTTTGAGTTGAGATAGCCAAGTTTGCGGCCAGGCTCAGAAACCACCATTTATCCTGGTCGCAACCCCCGCAGCTTTATGGTGTTCAAGAAATTTCTTCCCTTTACTTGCAGGGTGGGACCAACGTGGTCCCTATCTCTTAACCATTACGGGAGTCTGATGACGTCATCAGGCTTTCGAACGTCCGTTAAATGTTTGACTAAAACGTTTTGTAGCACGCGGTGGTATATGCTGCTTTGCGCGCAACAAATGCCGCACTTTCAAATAAAGTCGCTAGGAACAGCGGAGATCCCAAAAAGTAAACAAAAGTAAAACTCTAATATCTTGAAAACCGGTGAATATTTTTCGCTGAAATTTGGTAGATATTCGTTTTTGCTCTTTCTGAACCGAGCGACATTACTTTCATGCCAATTCATTAACTTTTTTGAAGGTGGGAGGGTCCCTTTAAAGGGAACCTCCCACCTTCAAAAATGTTAATAATTGGCATGGAAGTGATGTCGCTCGGTTCAGAAAGAGCTAAAACGAATATCTACCATATTGTGTTTCGGTCGGTTCGAATGAAAGAGCTGTATTTAATGAGATAAACGAGATTTATTCGGAGAACTCTTTCCTGAGCCGGAACGTTAATTGCCAAGTAAACAAACGTAATGGCGTGCGTCGTCTCTGCCTATCCGCGCCAGTCTTGTCGTCCGGCGGGCCAGCTGGCGGCGGCACGGGCGCACTCAGCTACCTACGGACTGAGGCAGGCGGCGGCGACACGGGCGCACTCAGGCCTCGGGCACGAGCCGGGGCGGCGGCACGGGTGTGCTCGTGCGCCAAAAACAACAACAACACTCCATACCACATTTCACCGAGAAATATTCACCGGTTTTCAAGATGTTTGACTTTTACTTTTGTTTAATTTTTGGGATCTCCGCTGTTCCTAGCGACTTTATTTAGAAGCAATAGTTTGGCAGCTGAAAGTGCGCCACATGTTGCGCGCAAGGCAGCATGTACCACCGCGCGCTACCAAACGTTTTAGTAAAAGATTTAAAATCGTTAGATCTGCGCCGATGTCACACATTCAGAGGGGGCACTCTAATTCATTAGCCCCTCTGAATCCAGTGCTGCAACTTTGAAATTCGATATTTTCGATTTGAGGTATTTCTCGATGTTATGAGTTCTCAAACCGGTAAGTGCAAGCCAGAGAACCCATTTTGCTATCTCAACTCAAAACTAATGTTAACCCTCGCCCGTATAGGGGAGGGGGGTCGAACGTACCCCCCTCGATTTTTTGGGAATAACTCGCGTAAAAAGCGGCCGATAGCGACACAACTTTCAGTACCCTCAAGTTGATCAATTTTACACCTTCTCTAAAAATTTAATGACCCTGACCCAAATGACCTTTGACCTGTGACCTACTTTTCGAGTCCATGTTTGGCCGATATCGCGATTCGACGTATGTCGGCTCGCATTAGCAGCGCGTTGGCAGTCTTTTCGTGGTTTCAAGCGCTCAAACATGTAATTAAAATGTTGTTGCTCCCATGCATTAGGGTGGGTGTCAAGGTCACCTGAAGGTCAGATCAGTTCATTGACCTTTGATGACCTTGGTTCACTTTCTCGAGTTTTACATTTTTTCTAGGCTAGTTTTTAGCTGAATTCGAATTTAGCCAAATTGGAGAGCCTAGTTCAGAAAGACCGCTAAAAGAGCTATTGAATGCACTTTTCCGCGACGATGTAGCTCTATTGGTCCCCGAGGTAGGGGCCGGTGTTTCGAGAAATGTTGAAATATGCAACATCTTACCTTTGATGACCTCTGGTGACGTGACCTTTGACCTGACCTAGAAATGACCAATTACTCTAGCTAGAATTTCGGGTGCTCTTTCGAATGCCACTTACTACGTGTCGCTATGTGGCCCTGGAGCCGAGTTAGAAGGGGAGTGTTCAATCAACACCTCCCGGCCAGGCGCGTTTGGCGCCGAGCATCGGTCCGGCGCGGGTTGATGTTTGGCTGCTGCACCCAAAGTCGCAAAAAGTCGCAAGAAATGAAAGTCTATTGGTGTGTGACATCAATATTATGTGAAATTATATTTTCGTCTTTAAATCTTTGGGGTGCAAACACATTATAACCAAGTAGGATTTCGCCATTTTCATATGATTAAGTGTGTTCGCCAGGCCCAGAGCTATCGTTTGATGTATATAAAGGTGGAATTTCTCCTCAAATTGTGATTGTTTTCGTGGATCAAAGATACGTTGTCGAAGAGTGCGGGGGACGGGTTCGGTCCAAACGATTCCGAAGTTCGTGTTTAAGCTGAGTTTTCGCCATGAAATAGCAATTGTGTTGGAAAACAAAGACCACAGCAATGTAGTATGATCATTTTTGAACGAAATGGTATAGGTTTCATTGCGCTTCCGCAAAGTTCGATTTTTTTACCCATGTCGTGCTAGAACTGGCGATCCGCCCAGTGTGCAGTGGGCCTACATTGGCCTGATGATCCAAAAAACCACCATGGCCAAGAGAATCTTTCATGCATACTGCCCGAGCTGTAGTGGGCAGTTCGCATGCTGTCCAATTAACATATTGTATGTAACACATACATTTCTGCAGTCAATAGCTTACCCGATGAAGAGTTCGGAAAATATCGCTGGTTTGATTCGGGAGGCCTGCTTGGCTGCCGTAATAGGTTATTTTGATAAATTGAGTGGCTCCAACCCATGAGATGGTAATGCCGATGGCTATAACGCTTCCGCACATGACCTGAAACAGCAGACTCGGGTTATGTAATTACACTTGCTTTACGTTGGCATAATGAAATCAGACGTGACACGCTTCATGTTAAACATAGTTTGCAAGTATATGTACTCATTCATGAAAATACATGATGCATAATGCATATGCATACGTAAGTTCATATGCATTGCATATGAACATGAAATTGGCATCGGAAAAAAACATACGGGAGCCAACAAGCTAAATACGCGCGGCCAGAGGACATGCATCATCTTTGAAGCACCAACCTTTCGAGTTCTCTTTGAAAATATTGCCTTTCGAACTTTCTTCATGCGAGTTTGGGCCGTCACCTCTTTTCCAGGTTCTGAAAATGCAGCATGGACAGATGACACGTGCGTCGACGCCCACGCCCACACACGCACACACCCACACACACACACACAAACACACACATAATCAGCATCCAACCTCTGCTCGGACTGCATCTGGCCTCTGATTTGTTTGTGATTTGACCGCATGAGAATGATGAGATCTTGAGTGTTTCAGTACGTAAGCCAAATGAAATATCTTTACCGCCATCTGTCACTGTAATGACATTACCAGTACTCTACAACGCCTGTGGCTATTCTGTGCTGATAGAATATAAAAATGTGGTTACAAGCGGGAATGGGTAAACACCGGCAAACATCATGCACAATAGCACATTTTAACCCTTTGAGTTTAACCCACTAGCACATTTTAAGCCTAATTTTAAACTCTTTGTGCTGCGATTGATAACGACGGACGTGTTTTTCAGCGTCCCGTTTATAGTCAATATTTCAGCATTTACCGCTCCCTTCGTTAAACTAACACCATTCAAAACAATATAGGCCAAGCTTCGCTTTGGCCTTAATACACGTTTTGGGGCCAATTCTATAGGCCTTTTAGGACTTAGATATTGATTTTTTCGCTCTTTTTCGAATTTTGCATCGTTTCATAATTCATTCCATTGCTATGAAGAACCCATGCTTTTCATGTATGTGCCGCGTGGGGCTGATTTCAAAGATCTTCGGATAACAAGCTTTACAAATGAAAATATTGGAAAGCACATGCCACACGCACGGCTGGCAACTGAAGAAGTCCTAAGGAGAGAATACCTAATGTGACCAGTGGGTTGGCCTGCGCGGTGTCGGCGCGTCTGTGATCGGGTAGCGGCGTGTTATGGCCCTTTCACACGTAGCAACTTTTCAGTCGCCGGCGACAGCAACAGTCGCCGGCGACTGCCAGCCAACGATCGTGTGTGACGTAGGTATGGCGTAAGCAAGTCGCTGGCGATCGCCGGGCAGTCGCCAGCAACTGCTTACGTCAGATCCGCGTCACAGGCCAGTCACCGGCGACTCTTCTCGAGCAACGGGCGCCGCCATGACAGTTTTGTCCTTGGTGAGTGGTTAAGGTGATTTGTGATGCATTTTTTTTCTTAAATTGGTTGGTGTGGCTACCTTAAACTTGTTGCACAGTAGCATAGGGATTATTATCTTGTAGTTTGCCTTTGGTGAAGCTGTTGTGACTTGAAATTAAAGGTAGTGTGCCACCTTCGAATGATTTCCCATTTTATTTTTCCTAGGATAAGAAGCTTCTGTTTTTACCTAATATCGCAAAAAAATCAAAAATGGGCCTAAAATAGTGCTTTTTTCGCCTAAAAGTTTATCGGTTTTTCGATATGTATAACAATTATAGTGGGCTGACCTGCAAACAGGCGTCGGCAACAATCACGAATGCGGCGCACATGTGACAATAAGCAAAGGTCATTATAGAGTTACGACGTACGGGAATGAGTTATCAGAGGCCTGTACACATTCAGCTGCTGTGCTGTTGTCAGCCGAGAATCACTCACACTATTGGCTGAAAAATTGATGACGTTATGTTGCACATGCAACATGACGTCACCTCTCTGCTGCCGGCAGCATGGGCTGACGGGCTGTGCTGCTACGAGAAAGCAAGTGCAGAGATGCCGAGCCGTCAGCAAAAGCCATAAATGACGCATTTAGACACTGGTAGTGGCGCATGAAAGCAAATCACGTGCCATATTTTTATTGAGCACTGCAGATAAATGAAATTTGGACACCATGTTGGCGCTATTCACATATATTTGGTTTCATAATTAATTGTCGATACAAGAAAAATACTTATTACTTTCGCACATTGTCAGTAAATATTTTGATAATATATCTAACTGCTTAAGTATTGTATTAATAAAGAACATGAAGATGAGACGAAATATTTGTTTACAACGCCATATTTGTAAACAGTCAGCCAGTGCTGACATTTCTCATCAGCCAAATGTATACAGTTCCGTCAGCCAGAAGCGGTGGGCGGAGCCTATTTCAGCTGACAACAGCACAACAGCTGAATGTGTACAGGCCTCAGCTGTCTAATCGTAGACAACACAATGTCGAATTTAAACTGTAAGCCTGTATTGGTATTGTTTCTTTAATTTGGCTGTCGAACATTAATTCATGGTTTGAAATATTATTTTATGTAAAATAATTGATATGAAACAGCCGTCTCTAAAGTTATGACCCCATCTCACCACATGAAAGTGGCAGAAATGACAATGATCAGCTGACGCATTTTTATTGGCCGAAGTCAGAGCGCGCGGCCCGACGCACCACCACCGCATTACAAAGTATGAGCAGAAGCCGCGCCTAAAGCCAGGGCCCCGGTAACGTGAGGTAGCCGAGTCGGGGCAGCGTGCGCTGACCCAAGCCGGGGCCGCGGCTTTGGGCGCGGTCTACCGCATCCCCGCGGGCAGCCCCGGGCTATCACATGACACCGGGAGGACGCGCGGCCCCGGCTTGGGTCAGCGCACGCTGCCCCGACTCGGCTACTAGTGGTGTCAATCGGAACTTGAATCTTCGGAATTCCGATTTTGTCCAATGTCCAATTCGGAATTCGGTTGGACAATGGCCGCAGGCTTTGGAAAACTTTGGACAATCGCTTGCTACACCTCAACATTTTTAAAAAGTAGTCGTGTTTAACATTGATTGGCTATTAGAAAGCTCAGCTTTCGATATGATTAACACTTTTGAGCTTGCAGCGGTACATGAAAAGCAAATGAAATAACAGTGTTGAGTGTAAATTATTGCGTAGGTGTCGGATATCTTTGGACAAATGGCTGGCTTGGACATTTTTGGACGGACAATCGACGTAAGCATTGGACATTGAACGGACTTTGGACATACGTTTTCTGAAATTGACACCACTATCGGCTACCTCACGTTACCGGGGCCCTGGCTTTGGGCGCGGTCTACCGCACCACCTAACAGGCGTGTTCGAAACCGCAGGAGATGATGATGAACGGGTTTATCGAAACTTGATTGGATGAGCCTATCGGTAATAGCGATTTCAGTGTGTGCATTTATTGTTCATAGTGGTGTGCAATGTGGTTGGGGTACGACCGACAACCCGTCGGGGCGAATTTCGCACTGGGGTACTCAAAATTTGAAGAATTGAAGACGTTTCCATGAGTTTTGAAGGTATGGATAAGTTCTAAAAATCCGGTTCTCCTTATCTGGGCCATTAACTCCATACGGTCCAGGAAAGCTGGCACGCTACCTTTAACCCTCGCCGGCCGAGGGGGGGGGGCGGGTGCCGCCCCCCCCATAGGGTTTTTTCGCGATAGCTCCGAACACGCTGGCGATAGAGAGCTGAAACTTGGCATACCTGACCTTTGATCCAAGCCGCATCTTTTGACACCAACCGCATTTTTGGGTCAGGTCAGGTCACTGACCTATGACGTCACAAGTGAACCTCTGCACGGTCTTCAGATGTCGCAACTTCGCAACGCCCTCACTGCCAGAGGAGATGTCACAGGGAAATGAAACTTGCAGGATCTAGTATCCATTATGAGTCCCACAACTTGTATATCTCGGATTTTTCCTAAAGGTCATATGAGGTCAGGTCATTTTCGTGACCTCACCATTATAAGTCAATGGGGAAAAATGAAAACTGCTATTCTGGCGCCGGGAACGATCTCCAACTATCTCAAGCACACAGAATCGTGATTTGATGCACTCCTTGCAAGGTTAGATGCGTCACTTTTGCAATGTTGACCTTGCGTGACGTCATTTATGACGTCATCAAGGTCATATTAGTTTTTCGTCAATAACTCTTGATCAAATTGAGCTAGCGAGTCGGGAAAGCCACCAATGGACTCAGGAAGACCTGCCGAATCGAATGATATGCGACATGACCTCTTTCGACCAACTTCGTGACCTGGGGGTGCTGACCTGACCTTGACCTGAGGTCAACACCCCAAGTTGACCTGACCCGGACAAAAAGTATATCATTCGACGCGCCTGAGCGAGACGAACACGATGCTGCCAAAATCGGCGCTCTGCGGCCGTTTTTTGCGAAGTTATTCACCAAAAACTGAACCGTACCTTGGGGCACTTGACCTGACCTCAGAGGTCACCGGTTGACCTAGGACCTTAAAATCGGGTACCAGTCTCTGCGTCTCGTAACGGCGCACACGCTCGTTTTTTCCGCGACGCGCTAGCTCCACCAGGGGCGAAACGGCGAGGGGGGGGGTCGTACCCGCCCCCCCCCCCCCTCGGCCGGCGCGTATGTAGAAAACCAATAGGTCCGGCGAGGGTTAAGCTTGATTCGACAATATTGGAGGGCTTATGTCATTTGTGGCTCACTTGCCCATGATCACCCATGATTTTTATTTGTGATAAATATGTATTTTTTCATCAAAAGTGAATATTTCAATGACGTTGAAATTGAAACTAGTTTCATAAGATAATGAAAACTTGTTTGTTATGTCACAAGAACATTGTTAACATTCAGTATCAGTGCCCTTCAGGGCAAAGTAGGTACCCATCAGTCTCAGCTATTTACCTGCCTATGTTGTCCAACACAAGGAAATATTTGATAGCAACAAAATATTGCTGCTCATTAATTAGCATGATCAAAATCAAACAGGTAGCTTTGCAATTTTTGTTATTGTTTCTGCTGGAGTATTCCTTGGAACCACGGATAAACAACCCAGGCCAAAGTAAATCCGCATTGGCTTCATAATTGTGTGCGTGCTGTTATGGCAAATGATATGGCTTATTAATACTTAAATAATGCACAGTAGGTGGTATGTCATGTATTTTGGCAAGGTGGTATGTATTTTGGCCCTGGAGCTGTTTCCTATTCATTGCAGCAATGCTGCCAGCATGGCTTATTATGTGTACCATGCGCACACAAGCTCCACCAACGTAAAAATGTCATTCTCACACAAAACTCATAGTTGGATGAAGGTAGAGCAGACAGAATCAGTGGGCATTTGCTGCAGTGAGGTTAAGTCACTAGAGGCTTGAGACTTTTTTACATGCA